GAAGACAGCCATGAGGAGGCGACGCAGATCACGCTCAGCCGTGATCCATCGCAGAAAGTCTTCGAGAGGCGGAGCTTCTCAGCGATGTCGAGGAGAGTCCTGTGCCAAGCGAAGGTTGTTGCTTACGGTGCATGGATTGCCCGCGGTCATTGAGTAAGGTCAGCCGGTCGACGAGGAAGCCAGCGCGAAGGCTGAGCTTAGACTCGCAGAATCGCCAAGCATAGTCCAGGATTCTGTGCAGGCACAAGCTGAGGAGCTTGCGATGGAGGATGCCAGCGACAAGGAACCGAGGCGCGCGTCAGACCCATGTCAGAGCCTCTAGATGACTCGACAACACTCGACATGTCGTTGGCTCTATGGAGCAGGCAGAGAGGCTTCCGCCAAGAGCAGAAAGGTGGCCCATCTGGCAAGGCAGAACCGTCTTAGGAAGCGTGTTGTTTGGCCAAGACATGCTTTCCGCATACAGGCAACAAAGGGTGGAAGCCACCACGACGAGAGGGTCCCGAGCGGAGGCCAGAGATCGAATGGCCATCGGGCTGCATCGCCGGCAGCCAGAGCCCAGGCAAGACTGCTAAGATGTGGCATCAGGCGGAGTCACAGCGGAGCTTGTACTTGAGCCCACCAGAGGACGGAAGAAGTCGTGGTGAAACGGAGAGGGACCAGAAGCTGGAAGCAGGCGTGAAGAAGCCCAAGGCAGGGGAGGGTCGCGTCGCTGGACTGGTGACCGTGTCAGAAGTGGCAGCAAGCGTCAGGCAGTGCAGCAGAAGTCAAGGCCCGGAGCTTCTGTCACCACGTTTGGTTTCATGCTCGCTGACGAAGGTCACCTGCAAGGGCGGCGGGCAAGGCCGACCAAGAGGCACCAGCGTGAAGTGTCCGTTTCTTTGTGCAGTGCCGGCATGTTGCACTCCAGGAAAGGGCGTCGGTGTCGCCGAGGAGATCTTGTTCTCCGAGGCTGCCATCGGTCTGCAGATTGATTTTGGCAGGGCAGACAGGTTACCACGTCCCGGCTGGTCAGGAATCGTGATTCGCTCCGAGATGCTCCAGATGTTTCTCAGACGCAGTTTGATAACTCTCTCTCACTTCATTCCTCTC